TCCCCTCCTCTCCCCCTCCCAGGCCGGCCCAGTCCTGTTAGGCGCACCAGTCTCTCTGGTTCCTAGAGCAGAGATTTGGGATCTAACCAAGCCCACGGGCAAAGGAGGCCTCAGGGACTTTCTTCCGGGTCGTGCTGGGACTTGGGGAGACCAAACCTAGGACGACGTGGGGGGTGGGGGTGGGCGCTGGTAGTCCCCAGAGGGAGCCGCTTGCTGGGCTGGCTTGCGGCCGGTAGGACTTCAGACACCGCGCAGTTAATATTGAATTCCCTGTAGCTCACTGTAAATCTAGCCCTCACTACGCACCCCTTTTAAATCCATGGTCGTGCTCGAGATTTCTTACTTGATGTTACCTAAGTTCCTGATCACGGACTCCACTTTTCTCCCCCCGCCAGCTCAGGTGAGAATACACTCCCCTGCCCTCTCCATGCCACACAAAACCTCCTCTTTTTCTCTTTCTCTTTTTTAGATGAAAGCCCTATATTTTGAATTAAAGGCTTTAACGCCTGGGATTCTCCTCAAACTCTGTCCACCGGAAATGTGCTCCCCACACTAAAACCGAAGCCCCCACCCAATGGCTTCTGGTTGATTTTAGGAAAACAAGGACCCCTTTCCACCTTCTGGGGGAACCACCAGACCTTTCTCCAGCCCAGACCCTCCTCCTACAGACCACTCCGCGTTCTCCCGGAGGTTGGGGGGAGAGAGCCCAGGCACTTTTGGCAGGATTTTCATCAAGGACCCTCTCTTGAAGGAACCTCCACGCCCTGGGGAGGAGGGATGCTCACGTTAATGACTCTTTCAAATAAAGTTAGAGGCAATCATAATTTAGTTTACTTCGGAATATTTTAAATATTATGAAAACAAATATAACAGTTTTGTTTTCAGAACTCTTTTGAGGTATCAACTATTAAAAGATTGGGGGTTTTGTAAAAAAAACACACAGTGGTTTATTGAATACTTACAACGTTTACACCTTCAATATTAATTAAATTCCACTTAGTTTTAGAGGACGGAAGTGCACATAACAAGTAGCTGTTGGAAACATCTTGGAATAGGGAACAACCACGGATGAAACGAGACAGCACTAGATACCGACCCCAACGGAAATGTTAGCGGCCCCGTTTCTGCTTTGAAATAAAGCTTTATAATCCCCAGGAATATTTATATCCAAAGGCCAAGTATTAAAGATACACTTCACATACACACCAAGGTCCGCTGTCTTTTATCTGGAAGCGGTTGGGTAGGTGGGGAGAGGGCCACGCTGGTGTCTATACAGCCAGGAGGGAACATTCAAACACAGAGAATCTACGAGACGATGGGATCCCTTACCACGCGGGAGTGTCCTCTTCATATTAAAATCTGGAATGCTTTTCTTCAAATATCCACTATTTTTTGGAGGGGGAGGTGGGGAGCGGATGCCTCATAGCGGGGCAAAGAGTGGGGAGGCACATTGCACATAAATAAACCGGATGATTCCAAATGCAAGTAGTCCTCAGAGCCGAGCACGGAGAGCTTGCCCGGAGTCCTGGGTCTGCATCTGGCTCCTGGGCCCCAGCTCACTCACACTCTCCTCCTCCTCCTCCTCCTCCTCCATCTCCTCCTTCTCCTCCTCCTCACTGCTTGAGTTCCAGGGCCCAGACGTGCTGCGGCCAGCCTGTCCGGCCTTTGGTTTTCTTGTCGTTGCTGCTCACTGTGCTTTTCAAGATTTCGTTCTGGACAGAGGGGAGGCGAGGGGGAGAAAAGTGGAAAGAGAAATTCAGAGGGGAGACCTGGTTCCACATCACCCCCGCGCTCCCTGGGCTCAGAGAGACAGTGAGACCGAGGAAGAGATGGGAAGTAAAATGGTTTTAAGTCATAGTCCCTGCACAAGAGCTACGGAGACTGGCGCTGCCCTAGCTACCGCCCTAGCTACCGCACAGGCCGCCAAGCGCCTGCAATACTCAACTACCGAATCCGCACGTTTATAAACAACAACCCGTTTGCAAGTCGCTTATGGAGGAGCTGGGGGCTCTTAGCCGGGGTTGGCTTAATATGGTTTCCCTGTCTTCAATTGCAACCCCAGATCCATGCTCTCAGGAAGATGGGGAGAAGTTCCCTCACCCTGGCTTGGGCCTGTGGGCCCGAGGTTTTCTAGCCCCCGCTCCGCTGTGCCTCTCCTCCAGGCCTCTGAAATCCCTGGTTATTCTAGAGGTCACTCGTTTATGCAGCGACTAGAGCGCCTCGGGCCCCAAAGAAGAAACACTCTATTTTCCAGGCCCTGCTCTGAACCCCACCACCCTCAGGGCACTTGGTAGGAACTTGAGAAAACTAATTTTCAGTTATAATTTTGTGTTACGGTTAACAACAATAACAATGATCACAGTAATATTTACTCTGTGTCTTAAAATATGCAGGGTAATGCAAAGAAAACAAGAAATACCCATGAAATGTATTCATCTGATAAATTACGTTTTAACCTCATGGCGGAAGAGAAACTGGAGCTGCATTTTGAAGTTAAAAGTACCCATTGTATGTTTACCTTTACATCTTCCGGAGCACAGTAAGAACGACCATAAAACTCTCTTAGAAACAGTGGCAGCCTCCTTCTCAAGAGGTGGAAATGGAATCAATAGTGAAATAATTAAAAGTGAGAGTTTGGGAGCGACCTTTTTCTTTTTAATATCTGAAAGCATCGGATTGGAGGCCAAGTGAAGATTCGAAAGGACACGAA